TTCCTGTTTTACTTTGAAACTCACATCTCCTCTGGTTTCAGATCACTTCACTTCCTGCCCCTGTGTGTTTTCCCTCCCTTTTGATGACTTCACCTCTGTCTGATTGTCTGATTAGCCTCACCTGTGTCTCGTTATCCTCCAGTGCCAGTTCATCATAGCTCCTTGTGTGTCTAGCATTCCAGCCTTTTGTTTCGCTGTGTTTTTTCCTTGTTTTGTTTTTTTCTTTAGCCTGTTAATTGACTCTGCCTCATCCCTATTGGATTTGTTTGCCTCCACTGATTGTCCTTCTGTGTACCGAACCTACGTTTTGACCAGTAAAGACTGTTAAGGCCCATTTATGCTCAACGTTAAATACGGATCCGGATACGGACGGAGCCTTCTGTCCATGCTCCGCGTTCATTTCGTCCGTATTTCTGCACGTTTCCATAAAGCTTACGGATACGGGCCAAACGGAGCAGTACCACCGGAAACCGTGGGGACAGTTTTGCTGTCACTACCCGATATGTAGCTCTAGTGAGACACAAAGAAGAAATAACAATTCAGTTTCTCTCATCGGCAGTACTAGAGAAAAGAATTCTCCGTCTTCCAGTCGCGATGTATTTAACGGCCTCACCGACCACCGCCTCCTACAACGCTGCCTCTGTTTTTGTCTTTTATGCAAGAGGTACATTATCAATATCTCCTCCACAGTCGCCATGTTTGTTTTTGAGTTTGTTGTTGTCATAAACTTTTGACTCTGGGCTGCCTCCTGGTGGATATATTGGTTAACATCCATGCCAACGTAAAGGGCGCATGGAAGTATGTGGGCAGTGGCGGTAGCATCGTTTGAAACGGACGTATACATTTTCGTACGTAAAGGGAGCATAAATGGGCCCTTTTTGTATCTGAACTGTCTCCAGAGTGGTGCATTTGAGTCCACTCTCACCTGGGTCACCAGTTGTTACAAGTTTAGCTTAGGTTGTACAGGTTTCAGGGACATGAAGTATTTGAAGATACCTTTGAAGGTCCTTATACGAGTTGTGAGGTTTGACCTAACAATTACTTTATGCTGTTTGGTTATTCTTCAGCATGTTGAGGGAAGTGAATGAGAGAAAGAACAGATGCTTCTTCTTACATAGGGGTAATAACTAAAGGCTTTGGTTTCTTGACCCAGCTGTACAGATAGAAGTATGGGAACAGTTTCTCTGAGAAAGATTCTCCGGTGAAGGAGTAAATGTGCAACTTCCTGTCAACATCAAAGAAAGAGACTCTGCCTTCATTATAGTCCAAATACACTCCCACGTTGCTTGGTCTGGGACACAGATGGAGGGCTGCATAGGTTGTACAATGAACTTCATAATCGAGGCCCCTCTTTCCTATGGCAAAGAAGCCATTTTCTCTTTTCAGGGTTATCCTCCCTTTTTTGGTAATGGTCTCCTTTGCAACGCCGACGTCCCAGTCTGTTCTCAAGCCCACTTGGACTTCCCAATAGTGACGCCCAGAGGTGAAGCCCTTCGTCCCTAAAATCATGGGTTGGTTGAACCTGTCTGGGTCGTCAGACCATGGGGGGCTTGCAGCTTTGTTGTACTTCAAACATTTCCCATGGTCGGACACCACAAGGTAGCTGCCAGCTGTAGCTGAGTCAAAGGTGACGGACTCTGAGGAAATGAAGTTCAGTTAAAGCGCTCATACTTCATAATAACTTATCAGAAAAGTGAGTACAGTGTATTTATGATCTCACCTTTATATTGTCTCATCCTGGTTAGTTCTGACACAAGTAAAAAAAAAAAACACACCTCAGTTATGGAAACTCATAAAATGGAGACATCCTCAGTGATGAAGCAAATGCAGCTGATCCTTACCCGTGTCTGTCAGAGTTTTCAGTTCTGATTGGAAAGTGTGCACAAGATGAGTCATGGCTCTCCTCAACGTCTGCACATACAGGTCTGAGTAAACCCTGATCTTAGACCAGTCCTTGGTGTCTGATGTGGTGCTCAGGCCCAACAAAGTCTGCAGTGATTCACAAACACATGATCATGAGTGGCACAGGGTTATATTTAATCTCTTTTTAAAGCCAACCAGCTGCACCCAAGCAGACATTTTGTTGTAGTCATTTGTCTTGACACATGTATAACACAGCACAAAGACTGGAAACTGAGGGAAACCACTTGTCTCACCCTGTCTTGTAGTAAATCCACCTGCCAGCACCTCTAATGGGATGTTATACTTCTGCATTGAATCGATGCTGTACCTACAGCTACGGCGTACCCTACGACTCCACAAAATAGCATTTTAAGTCTTATGTGTGAGATATCCTGGCTTCATATGAGCAGAGGAAATCTCAGCTCATTGCTAGACAAATTTATACAATGTAAAATGCCATAGGCTTGTGCTAATAACGTTAGCATGTTATATTTGTTTGGAAAAAACATGAGACAGTTGTATTGTCAGTGAACCTTGTGAGCTGTAATGGAGCAGAACTTTGTAACGTTTCCTTTGTTAAATCTTGCTGTTGTCCCTGGTTTCATATGGGTAGAGGAAAAGTCTGCTAGCTGCTAGGCTAATTTATACAATGTAAAATGCCATAGGCTTGTGCTAATAACATTAGCATGTTATATTTGTTTAGAAAACGTGTTTAGTATAAGAGTTGTTTTGTCAGTGAACCTTGTGAGTTGTAATGGAGCCGAACTTTGTACCGTTACCTTTGTTAAATGTTGCTGTTGTCCCTGGCTTCATATGAGTAAAGGAAAAGTCTGCTAGCTGCTAGGCTAATTAATACAATGTAAAATGCTATAAGCTTGTGCTAAAAACATTAGCATGTTGTATTTGTGGGGAAAATGTGTCCAGATAAGTGTTTTGTCTGTGAATGCTGCGAGTTATAGTGAAGCTGATTTGTGTACTTGTGTTTGAAATTG